GCCTCCCAAAGTGCTGGGATTACACGCATGAGCCACTGCTCCCATTCCCAGTCTGTGTCTTTATGGAGCTTATGATGTAGAGGGAGAAACAGATACACACACACACACACACACACACACACACACACACACACCCTCTGAAAGACAGTAGGAAGGCCTGATTTAGAAGGAAAGCAAGGCACCCTTCTTCGAATAAAATGAGAGGTGAAGCCAGCTGGACTTCCTGGGTCGAGTGGGGACTTGGAGAACTTTTCTGTCTTACAAGAGGATTGTAAAATGCACCGATCAGCCCTCTGTAGCTAGCAAGAGGATTGCAAAATGCACCAATCAGCACTCTGTAAAAACGCACCAATCAGTGCTCTATGGCTAGCAAGAGGATTGTAAAATGCACCATTCAGTGCTCTGTAAAATGCACCAATCAGCGCTCTGGAAAATGCACCAATCAGCACTCTGTAAAACGCACCAATCAGCAGGATCCTAAAAGTAGCCAATCGAAGGGAGGACTGAAAAAAGCACACTCTGATAGGACAGAAACGGAACATGGGCAGGGCCAATAAGGGAATAAACTCTGGCCACCTCCCCGCCAGCAGTGGCAACGCACTAGGGTGCGGTTCCACGCTATGGAAGCTTTAGTTCTATTGCATTCCTTGGCTCTTCACAATAAATCTTGCTGCTGCTCAATCTTTGGGTCTGTGCCATCTTTAAGAGCTGTTAACACGCACCGGGAAGGTCCGAGGCTCGGTTCTTGAAGTCAGCGAGACCAGGAACCCCACCAGCAGAAACCAACTCTGGACACAAAAAGGTTACTGGAGCTAAGACAAAATTTTTCTCCAAGATACAAGGGACAGCCCCTTGTCCCTGGACCATGGTGGCCTCAGCTTAGTTCTCTTTAGTGTAGAAAAGTGGAAACCTTAAGCCACACCTAGGACCTGGGCCTCTCCCACATCATCTTATTCTGGGAGAGAATCCACTGCAAAAACAGGAGTAGTTAGTCAGGGAAGGAAACGAAGGGTCCCAGGTAGCAGGAGTCCTCAGTCCCTCGGTTCCTGCAGGGTCTCAGCTGACTTCATGGTTGTCGAAATCCTCACACATGGACAACCACTGACTTGCTGATGGTGTAGCCAGCGTTAGTTGAGAACATCTGATTACCAAGAAACAAGAATCTCACTATCTCCAAGCCAGCTAGAAATGCCCTTCCTGCAAGTTCCAGGCAAATACAATTTTTTTTTTTTTTTTTTTTTTTTGAGACAGTGTCTCCCTCCATCGCCCAGGCTGTAGTGCAGTGGCTCAATCTCAGCTCACTGCAACCTCTCCCTCCTGGGTTCAAGTGATTCTCCTGCCTCTGCCTCTCAAGTAGCTGGTATTACAGGCGCCCACCACCACACCCGGCTAATTTTTGTATTTTTAGTAGAGATGGGGTTTCACCATGTTGGCCAGGCTGGTCTCGAACTCCTGACCTC